GCCAAAGATGTTAGAATTGTGTCGATGTCCCAATATTTCTGGACCTGACTGTATTTCAGTGATTTATGCATATTTTAAAACATTTTGTTGAAACATTATACAAGTAGCTAAGAATTGTAAAAATTAACATTCTTCTCTTTGCTTAATTATTAAAAGGATGATTGTTTAACAAGTTGGCCATATGCTTTCTTTTCTTTAATTTGTCTCCCTGGTTTTTAAAAATCTTACTTTGTTCTGAGTTGCTTTCATTTGTAACTGAGATATAGTTTCATGCACGTTGTGAACAGCACTGCAAATCTAATGTTTTAATGGTTCAGATGGTTTAAATAGATCAAAATATAAGGCAGGGGTCTTTAACAATATCTAGCAAGTAAACTTTGAATCATTTTTTTTCCCATCTAAGTGTCATTGTTTTCTTGGTAGAAATGTTAACATGTTGCCTACATTCTTGGCAACTTTACCATGGTTTTCTGAGAAACTGGCTGTTTAAAGGCAAAATTTCTTAAAGCTATTGTGAAATTGCAATACCTGAAATTACTTGCATTTCATGTGAAGGTTCATATGAGCTATTAGTTTCAGTAGGGACCATTAGGTGGTTAATGAACAGAAATAAAGCTGCCTTTGTGATGGCATTCCAATTATAGGATGCTCTCTTGTCACCTGCTATCTTTTTTCACTGATACCTAGGTGCTGGATGAAAACAATGTTATTCTTCCACCCTTTTATAGGATATTATTTTAATACTGATCTTGGATGTTTTATTCAAGCCTAGGTTCTAAATGTTTTGTATAAATAATAAATCCCTTTTTATATGCAGACATGACAACTACAGCTCCGTTAGGAGTTGAAAAAGATGAAGATTTGGAGAAGAAAGATGAAATGGATGATGATACAATGTTTACTACACTGGGTGAAGAAGACAAATCAAAGCCTTCTGTGGCTCCTCGCTGGGCTACTCGAGTATTTGCTGCAGATTGTCTGTGTCGAATTATCATGCTCTGTGAACATGCAAACAAAGCCCACTTTGATCTAGCTCTAGCCCGCTCTGCCAAACTTAGAGACCCTAAAAGTAAGGAAGAGTATCTTTTTTCTTTTTTCTTGAATTTGTTTTTTATCTGCTTTAAAATAACTTGAATGAATATTCAGTTAATTCTTTTTGCCTTGATGAAAGATAGGCAATATTATACTTTAAAATATCATATAGGTTATAGGGTTTAATATAATGTAGTGAACTGTACCAGAGTTTCATTACAAGTGTGTTTGTCTGCATTTTTTTAATCTGTATTACATTTTAAATTGCCCATCAGTCTATGTGCTGCCTATTTAGACAGATTTGTTTTCTACAATCCAAACAGAGGTAAAAAAAGGAATTTTAAATTATATTCCTCTCCTTACTATTCTCGTGTTCTCTTGTGCATACTGTACTTGTACCACTCCTTTCCACCTCTCTTCACATTTGAAATACATCTCAGATGGTGATTTATTGTGAAGCTGCTCATTATAATTTCCTAAGTCAGATATAACAGAAAAGCATAGTTAATTTAACTGGGAAATCTAAAATATAGGAAGATGAAAGTGGTGGTACAAAGATAGAACAAGTCATTTTCTTCAGGCTATAATTGTGAGCTTTCCAGAATCATCTGAATGACTAATGTACTTAAAAGGTGGGACAACATATATACTATTTAAAATTTGCAGATATTTCTGTGAAATATCTTATAAAACAAGATACTGAATGCTATTTTTCTTAGAGTTTTTAGAGACTGCATGTTAAATGGGGTAATTTACTTATATTCAATGGTGATTTTTCCTTAACAGAAGATACCTTCTGCTCATGGCATCTAGCTTTTGCTGATGCATACTATGCTTTTCTGCATCTCTCCAGAAAACTGCTCCAGGGAAGCAGTTTCAATTAAAATAAACTAACATTCATTATAACACATGGATTCTTTATATGGATTTGGTCTTTTGAAATTCAGTAAAAATGCATTTAATTTCTAAGAATTCTTGCACATTCAGTTTAATATTGAATTAAGATAACATTTTAAAAGATGCTAAATGCAATGAAAGCCATGACTGTAGGCTGTTTCTCATCTTTGTATTCTTTGAGTAGGTTTGTTTTATAGTCTGAATTGGGCTTTTGTTTCAAAAATACTGTGCATTGTTCCCTTAACCAGATTAACCAATGGCTTGAATCTTAGAAGGGATCACATGCTCTTTTCTGAATAATAGGTACTATGAGCTTGCTAACTATAGCTTACATTTTTGCAGAACATGAGATGAAATCTGTCATTATGTTTTAAAATTCTTATCTTGAAAAGAACAGTGCATACAAGAGAGATCTTGGAATTTAAAACAATACTTTTGCTCAGTTTTTAGGGTTTTTTTGCTTTGCTGAAACTGGAGCAAATGCACAACTTATAATGTATTTTTCTGAATCAAAGGTGTCCAATTGTGGGTTACTTTTGAAATAAGTATTTTTTCTTGTTTTTATTTTCAGATGACCTTCTAGTGCTTCATCTCTCGGATCTTATTCGCATGGCATTTATGGCTGCGACTGACCACAGCAACCAGTTGCGAATGGCTGGTCTCCAAACACTTGAAGATATTATCAAGAAATTTGCAGCAGTTCCTGAACCAGAATTTCCAGGCCACGTGATTCTAGAACAGTATCAGGCTAATGTAAGATAATCTTTGAGTTTATGCCAATTTAAAATAAAATGTGGAAAGCTCTGCATCTCATTCCTGTATTATATTGCTTGTGTTGGAGTTTTGAACTGCGTACAGCGATGCTTTTTGACAGCAGTGCTCTGTATACATGGAGTTCTGTCAGAGCTTTACTCTTGATCTCATTTTATGAGGATTGACTGTAAAATCAAGGTCAGGTATTTCTTCATAAAATGTTGGATTATTCCCAAGAAAAGGTATTCCCTAATGTTATCAGTTAAAAAACAGTTGTATGCCCAAGAAAAACAACATCCATCTATCCGTCCATCCATCCATCCATCCATCCATCCATCCATCCATCCATCCATCCATCTGAAGAAATACATGAAAATCTCATGACATTTCAAGCTAGAACACTAAATTCCAGGAGATTTGGCAATTATATGAGATTTTGACCATATTAACAGTTAATTTGTTATATTACATTATAATTTATATGACATATTATGTTGAGAAATTAATGTAATTAATTGTATTGCTGGGGTCCATTAATACCTTCAGGGCCACATAGTGATTCCTGTCTTCCATTGTACATAGAAACTTTCAGTTACAATGCAGTGCTTTGTACAAAAGTTGAGAACTGATGCTTTAGACTCCTACAAATTTAAGACAATTACATTCTAAAACATCTTATATAGATTGCTGATTCATATCTTTTGTTTCCTCTGCATAATTATTTGAACTTAAAAGAGTCAATAGAAGAATATCAGTGTTATTCTAGAGCTGTATCAAATAGCAATCTTACTCTCTCCATCCTGTCATAAGAGCAGCTCTTTCTTTAATCACCTAGGATGTACTGGTGCTTGGAATGGTTAATAACCATGGCTAGATCCATTCAAATCACATGGAGTGCTGACTTCCTTTTTGACTGACACTATTAACACCATTGCTTATGATAGGAATGTTGGTATAAAGCATACTTAATTATACAGTACTTTGTGGATCTGTGTGCTTCTAAAATTGGATGTTGTTACTCAGTGAAAATGACACTAAAAATGAAGCAATTAATGCAAAGTATAGGAATTCTAATTTCAATTGCTGAGATATTAAATATTTTGCTTGCTTTCTTCTGTAGGTTGGAGCTGCTTTAAGGCCAGCTTTCTCACAGGATACCCCTTCAGATATAACTGCAAAAGCTTGCCAGGTATAAAGAAAAGCATTGTTGCAACTTCAGAAATTCAAAAGACAAGATGTAGAAATGAGAGAGAAATGAACAGCAGCCAAATCTGACATGTAACTCTAAAAATATACAGTATAAATATTGTTCAAATTATTTTTCTTTGAACATCATACTGAGAAAGCAACTTATCTCCTTAAACTTTCTGGTCAGTCTGTATCATATTTCTATTTAACCCATCTTTAAAGGTGCTTCAGATGACGGGCATGGGGATTTTCCCATTTTGGTGTGATAGGTATTCAAAATGTGTTGATTCTTTCTGCTTTTTTAAAAGGCAGGGGATAATTGGATATAGTTATTTTTATTAATCTCTCCTAGAAAGTTCCTTCTTGGTTGTTTTGTTTCAGCCTTCCTCTCTTTTACTTAAATTTTCTTTCTCCTTTTCTTCTTCTTCCTTTTTAAATAGCTCTTTAAACCTTTTTGATCCTTCTGTTTTTTTCCTTTTTCTATTTTATCTCTTCACATGCCTTTGCTTCTGATTTTATACAAATATATAAATATATAAATTAAAGCATCCCAGATAGATGTCTAGATTCTGCTTGAGCACATCCAATAAAGGGGAGCACACCACCTGCCTGCTCTTTCATCCCCCTGTCAAACTGCTCTTACTCTTAGGAATTTCTTCTAACATTCCATTGGAATCTGCCTTTCTGTAACTGAAATATGTTATTTTGTATCCTTTTTTTCAAATCTTCATGGGATTTTTTTGTATGACCTTATTGGCTTCTTTTGCTATCTTCCATGTTTTTCCTTCTCATTGGAATTGTTTACAGTTGCTGGGCAAACCTATAAAGTGGGCAGGTTAGAATCATAGACAAAAGAGGCGAGTTAAGCCTTGGACCACCTTAGTAAGGAAACTGAATATTCCCAAGACAGCAAAAAGTCAGCTGCTTTGGACATCACTCAGAATTGTAGAAGATTCCTAGATGACAACCTATTCTGGGATAGAGAGGGCCCTGCCTCTGCTAGTCTAGGTGTCTAGTTTCAGGCTAAATTGCAGGCTGACTCCTATTCTAGGATTGCAGGCTTTCTGTCAAATGCTCCAGTGTTGCATTTTTTGTCTTTTGAAAATCAAATGTATCCCTCTTACAGACCATCAGATGGTGACAAAGTGCAATAGATGCAGCCCTTATACTGCTAACTAACTTAAAATGGCTTATGAGCAAAGCAAGCTTTATTTTCCAGTTAAGTTTTTTCAGTTTCCTCTGAAAATTAAGAAAGTTTATTTTCCAGTTAAGTTTTTTTCAGTTTCCTTCAGATAAAGTACAATTTCAAACTTTCTTGCATTCATTTGTTATATTAAAAAAAGAAGGGACATCAGCAATATTACTACAGATTGGATTGAGATAATAAAGTTTCCTATAATATTCCACCCCTCCTTTTAGATTTTTTAAAAAGAAATGAAATTAATTATTATTTATTTCTTAACCAATTTTACAGAAACAAATAGAAAAATTACAAAATACAAAAAAGGAAAGAAAGACATGAAAAACTACAAAAACAAAATAATAGAAAGGGGGAAACTATATATATCATACATTAATCAAATGTTATTTTGCCCACAGCTTTCAATAGAACATTTTGCCCCCTATCTTTAAGATAGAGTTTTTCCATAAAGTTAAATATTCATGAGCTTCAAGATTAAAACCCAATCTACAACCCAACAAGGCCCAAACATGTCTGGCTGCTTGTAAACCTGGGAATGAAATAGTCTCTTTACTATATATTGGCCCTAAAAATTGCTAGGCCCTTAATGGAAAAACATACAAACTTTCCAACAGAACCACCAGAAGTTGATGTTCTACTAGGTATTCATTCTGCATAGATGTAGTTGATAGAATATAAGCTCAATTATATTTTTTAAAATCTGGTTCTACTCCTACTTCTCTTAATTCCTCTTCCTGGATTTAAGGAAAGGTGGGTTTCAGAACCAGGCCTTAAATTAAACAACATAATCTTGATCATCTTGTACATAGTTCTGAACACTGAGATAATCAAAGCTTTTGATTCTCATTATCCATTCCACTGAAGAAGTGGCCAGATAAGGCTCATATTTTGGAAACTCAGTAAGTAAGAACTCAGTAAGTTTTTTCATATTTTGGAAACTCAGTAAGTAAGAAACTCAGGTTGCAGACCCCACCAGTCAAGGAATTTCGATTGGTGGGGTCTAGGCAGAGTTTTCTGCTGTGGCTCCCGCCCTATGGAACATCCGGTGTGCCCCCTCCCTCATGGCCTTCAGAAAAGGGATTAAATCCTGGCTCTGCCAGAAGGCCTGGGGGCC